AGAAACTCCACTCACTCATTACGTGAGCATTTGGTTACACTTTATTTAAAGTTGGGGAGGGTGCTGGGCATGGCGGGAGCTCGGTGTGTAAGCCCCCACCTTCCTATCTTACTGGTGTTGCCCCTACTTCCAGCCCCTCCCTCTGGCTTATCTCCCCTCCTCTCCTGAGCAGCAATAAACACATTCCTCTCCCTGCCCCCTGCAGAGCCTCGCTGATCCTATCAAGGCCTGTGAAGGCCTCGGCTTATATCCCAAGCACTTGCCAAGGAAGTTTTCTAAATAAATATCTCGTTCTACAGGAAAGTCTGATGAATACATTTTTTTCCGTGTAATTAAACCTGACTACCTAACTGCATTGGATTTAATTGTCCTTATCTTGATTCTCCCTGACATGTGGAGAAAAGTAAACTTTGGCAGAAAATATGGGAGAAAACAAGAAGAGATGAAATCACAAAAGAAATGAAACACATGGGATGGGAAGCGAAGAAGAGAGGGGAGAAAAATAAAGAAGGGAGGAGCCCTTGGCACCAGAGTTTGAGATGTTAACCCTCCTGAACAGTGGTTTAAAAACTTTCCTGTGAGTGGGTGTTCCCGGGAGTGCTGTCAAAGGGTTAGATTTGCGGAGTCTCACCCCCAAAGGCCTTGACCTGTTAAGATCTACGTGACCACACTTTGAACCCTTCTAGAACATGCTTCAGCTTAAGGAAGATGATATAAAGCTAAATGTAGCTAGACTGGGGAGGATTATTGTTATTTTTCTGTTTACCCCTTTATTTGGGCTATGCAGAGGTCATTCTGTCAGCCTGGACATCTCATTTTGGCCGGAGAATCTGAAGTCATCTGATGTGGCACGAATATTGAACAAAGCATTACACCATCCTGGTCATTTCCAAATCCAACTTTAGCTTAAACAATGTACACATTAGCCTTCCCCAGTACCTTTGCAGACAGATACAAAGTCCGGTCATCCAGGACAATGCTGGTCAAATTGCTGGGACATTTGCTGGGCTTCTTTCAAAGAACATGTCAGGAAAGTAATAAAATAATACTTGGAAAATGCCTAGTACTTTGCCTGGAACCAAGTGTTACTCTGATGAAAAGGGCAGTGCTTTGCCTGTTGGAGACAGAATGACCAGCTCCCCACCATGTGTTATCCAAGGTACTTAGTCAATGTCTTAACTATGAAGAATGTGCCTAAAGCATGTGGTGAGCCAAAAGGTGAGGCCCCAAAACAAGGTGACACGGACAGAGCCAACTTTATCTGTTTTAAAGCTGCCATCACAGCTTAAACGCCAGCAACAGAAGATGATGCCCTCGGTCTTATGGTCTTAGCACGTTCAGGATGCTATAACCAAAATACCATAAGTGGGACGACTTAAACAACAAATATTTATTTCTCACAGTTCTGGGGCAAGAAGTCCAAGAGCAAGGAGCCGTTGGGTTTGGTATCTGGTGAATATCCACTTCCTAGTTCGCATACAGCCAGCCGTCTTCTTGCTATGTCCTCATATTGCAGAAAGGGCAAGAGAGCTCTCTGGGGTCTCTTTCACAAGGGCACTAATCCCTTTCATAAGGTCTACACCTCCCAAAGCCCCCACCCCCTAATACCATCACATTGGGGATTAGGTTTCCACATAGAAATTTTAGGGGGACACAAACATTCAGTCCACAGCACCCTTAAAACTCAAAGAACTCGTACGCGGGCTTCAGAACAGGACCGAGAAAAGAAAACCAACCACGGAGGACCTGTATGAAATTAGTTCAATGTACATTGTAGACATCTTCAAGAACCCTCTTCAAGGTGACAGTCCCTGGCCTTCCATCTCACAGTCTGATTCTGATCAGAGCCCCCATTTGATGTATGTTTCACAAATTCTGCTGTCTTGGTTTCCCCATCTTGCTTTCTACTTAGAGATGATGCTACCCCATATTCTTCTACTAATGTACCCATAAAGGAGAAGAATTTGTGCCCCTCAGCCAGAAAACTGCATTCTCTTTTCAGGAAAATCCAAAGAACTCTATAGCACTGTGAAAGGTTTCCCATTGTGCTTTCTTCTCCGCATCTCCATCAAGGTCCCTGCAGGCCAATCGCCTTCATTCCCCAGGAATTAGCCTCATGAGGCCTTCGTGAGGGTCCTCAGCCTCCATTCTCATAGGTATGAAAGAGATGAGAGGCTTTTGCCTTTTTTAATTTAATAAAGGCAGCCGTTATTTTTCATGTAAAGAAGCTGAGTATTTTGAGGACAACCAATGACTTCATGAGATCACGCCTGGGTGGACAGTTCTGTAAAGGACCGTGATCCACTCTTGCTCTCCTGATACTGAAAACAAGTTTGGGAAAGAGCTCCTTCACAGAAATCTTGCCAATTCAGAGGCCACTGGGCTGATGACTTCATCATCTTCCATGCAGATATTAACTTTCAAAATATTAAGCAGTAGTATGAGGATACTTATTTTGAGTTCCCTAATTCATTGTATAGACATTGGTAATCACAGGAGGAAACAAAATTACTTCCAGTGTGAACCTAGCGTGGTGTGTTTCAAGCACTGTCTGAGTCATGGGGGTTACATGAAACACATGGCAATAGAATGATGTACTTTTCAGAGGGACAGACCTACTGGGTTGCTCTATAGCTAGTTTATGAATGTAATTTAACCTGTTTCAGCATTTTTGAGGTCGGATTGGGAGGGCTCAAAATCGACATATCCTTATGATATGGACCTTCCCCTTGGCCAAGGACATGGAAAACACACAGCAGTCTCCATAATCATGTTTCACTACCCTCCATACTAGTGGTTGTCTAACGTGACATATCTGCAATGAAAGGGTGATGTCAGTTGATACAATGCCACCAAGGCCAGTTAAACATTGTTCCTCAGGAAATAAGAGCAGGATTCAATCCTGAAAACATTGGTAGTGGTCCAGGGACTGAGTCATTTGGCTCCCTCGAAGCGTCTAAGCTCGCCCGAACATGTCGAGGTGGGCAAGCTCCCTTCACACCATGGAAGCAAGAGAGCAAGAAGCAGGGAAATGTAATTTGAAAATAATGCAGTACTCCAGGGATCAACTATTTCCCTCATGATTTAGATCTACTCTTATTCATGGATATTAACCCCTTGCACCGCAGCTCACCGACTCTGCTGGGTGGGAAAACAAGAGGGGCGCATCTATATTATTTTGACATTCAACACATTTATAGGTACTTGAATATTCCTTTTTTTCTCCTTTGCTTCTTGCAAAAGAGTTGGGAATTGAAAGATTACATCTAATGTAATTTATGGGCACCTCCCATTTTGATAGAAATACTTGGAATGTAATATAGACTTGTTTTTTAAACAAATGCCTTCATGAAAACCCAAAAAAACGTACCCAAGTGACTCGTATACTCATGTTTGCACAATTGAATTTCATACAAAAGTAAAACTCTCTAGTGGAGAAGAGAGAGACAATAGGGCTGCCCCTTTAGAAGAGAGAAGATAGTTATATTTCTTCATTAGTTTCCTATGCTGCTGTAACAGAATTGGTGTCTTAAAACAACACAAATTCATCACCTTCCAGTTCTGTAAATCAGAATTTTGATGGTCTCACTGAGCTAACATCAAAGTGTGAGGGTGGCATTCCTTTGGAAGCCCTCAGTGAGAATCCATTTTCCTGTCTTTTCTTCCAGGGGCCTGTCCAAGCTTCCAGAGGCCTCCTGCATCCTTTGGCTTGTGGCCCCTTCCCCGATCTTCAAAGCCAGCAATGGTGAGTTGAATTTCCTTACATTACGTCACTCTAATGCCCTGTTCGGCATCTCTCTTCCACTTTTAAAGTCCTTCGTGATTACACTGGGCCTGCCCAGAAAATCCAAGATAATCTCTCTATTTTAAGGTCAACTGATTAGCAACCATCTGCAACATTAAGTCTCGTTTCCCATACAAGATAATACAATCACAGGTCACAGGCATTAGGACATGGACATCTTTGGAGGGCCATTATTTTGCCTACCACAATTTCTAATTTATTCTGTAAAATTTACCAACTAAATTCCAAATGCAAATGAATCTTTTCCCATCTGTTTTTCTACAAAAGAAAAACAACTGAAATAGACTTCCTGCAACAATTACATAAGTGAATGTAGAGTTATAAATTTATAGTAGAAGAAGAAAGGTGTATGTGTGCGCGTGTGTGTTTTTAATGCATTTTGGTTAAGAGCCAAAGATTCTTAACTAAAAATTTGTGGAAAGCACTGCTATAAACAGATGACTATTAAACTTAAATAGTCATCAAGTTAACTTAAATTCAATTTAACTTAAATATTTATTAGGAGTGAAAGCAAACATAAATGTTGAAAACTCAAATCCTTATTTCTCAACTGTCTTCTCATTTTCCCACAATATATTTCTGGCTGTTTGGAGGCAATTTCCTAGATTTTATTAACCGGTAACAGAAGGGGGTTTACAGCTAAATTCATTCCAGAGAATAACTCATTTGTAACACATTGTTGCAGCTTCCAGAGCAAAGAGGTTAAGGGAGAAAAGCATGAACTCGGAAAACTTTGTTGCCAGGGAGCTGAAATAACTTAGATAAAGACGGTCACCCCAAGAGATACACGGGACATGATCCATGAGCAATATGTGGCCTTCCTGTGATACAATTTTTAAATAAACAGAATTTATACATTCAAAAAATATTTATAAGCACCTATTCCAGGCTGAGCATGGTGTTAGGCACTGAGGCACAGTCCTGAAAAGGCAGGCAGGATGCCTTCCCTTGTGAAGTTTATATTCCTATAGAGAGAGCGAACAGAAATGTAGATACTTAACATAATTTGAGAGAGTGTGCAATAGGACATACACGCACAAACGCATACACACCACAGAAGAGATGGCACAGCCTGAATAATTAGGAGAATTTCACAAAGGACTATTTCCAGTGGCATGAGCAGCTTCAAGGTGAACCAAGGAGTTCAGCAGGGAGGACACCGGGGAAATCAATACTCTGGCTCGGTCTCCCCCTGCCTCTGACTACCTGTGTGAACCCCCCATGGCTGAATCCGACTTGCGGCCTGACCTCCAGGGACCTCACTACTGCAGTGCGTAAAGACCAACCTCCCTGAGCACAGAAGGGGGTGGAGAAGGACGTAGACTGGACCTAGAGGAGCAAACAAACCTTCCAGCACCTTCTCCTATATAAAAAAGCTTTGCAGTGACGAAACGGGGGGGTGTTTGGGCATAAGATGGGGGCGTTGGGATTTATTTTAGATAGCGTCCAAGGAAGACCTCTCTTGGGGAGGGACATTTGAGCGGTGGCCACATGAGAAGAAGCCACTGATGCACAAAGTAGGGGCAGACCGGTCTTAGAAGAAAAAGTCACGTGCTAGTGCAAAGGGCCTGAGGTAGGAATAAACTTGGTGCGCTGTGAAAGGCAAGTTCAGTGAGGAGAGGAGGCAGGTGGTAGGAGATGGAGTTAGAGAGATAGGTGGTGGCTGCTTCATCGAAAGCCTTATCTTGGGTTGGATTTCCCCAGAAGAAAACCCTGAGATGAGGGTTTGGGTGCAAACAGCTATTTGGAAGGTGATTTCAGGAGGCATAGGAAGGGAAGTGGGAAAGCGAGAAGGGAAGGGAAGGATTCCAGTTCGGGTGATGTTGTTGACCTGACTGCCACACAGGCGAGTGAGGCATGGTCCCCTGGCGCTTCCTGTGGGGGGGCGAAGTGGGCTGCTTATTTATCTGATCCCACCCATGGTTTCTTATGGGCTGCTCCAGGGGGTGTCCCTCTGTGGCTCTTCGGAGAAGAGAGGGTCTTCAGGTGAGGAGTTGGGGGTGCTCGCAGTCGGATACTGCCTGCGGGGGGTGTGCTCTGGAGGGGTGCGCTGAGTGGTTGGGGTGGGGCACCCTCAGAGTCTGGTAATGGTCTGAAATCATTTGTATTTTTTCTAACTGTGATGGGAAGCCATCAAAGGTGATAAATTATTCACATTTTATCTCTGACTGGACTGAGTTGTTAGAGAATGGGGGTACAAATGGGTTCTTTTCTAAATTGAGATATAATTCACATACAATAAAAAGTACCCTTTAAAATGTGCTTTTAGTGTATTTTAGTGTATTCACAGAATTGTGCAGCCATCACCACTGATTCTGGTGCATTCTCGTGACCCTGAAAAGAAACCCCTTGCCCATTAGTAACCATTTCCCAGGAGCAGGTTCGTACATGGTGGTGCAGGAGGCGGATTGAGGATGACCTCAGTGTCCATATCAGAAAATCTCAGTGCAGCTCCGAGTTAAGCACCCTCTTGGATTGCTCGGCCCTGGGCAGGTCGCTTCTCTCCCTGACCTCAGCGTTTTCGGCTCTAAAACAGAGACAGAGGTGCGATGATTCGAGGAGGCCCCCGGCCCGCGCTCGGACGCGTCGTGCGCTGTAACCATCACGTGCCACAGGGACGTGTGGGTTAGTGGATGCTTCTCTCTGGATAGGAAAGACAAAATGTGACAGCGCAGGCCTGTTACTTGGGACGAATGCAAGAGTCAGAAACAGAAGCAAAACCCGAAGTTGGAAGAAGAGTTTTGGTGTCGAGGCAGGAGGTAAAGATGCTGAGACGGGCCGGTTGGGAGTGTCGTCTGGACCGATGTCTCCCCGTTGCGCCGGGAGAGACCGAGAGAAATGCAGAGGCAGGGACGGGGCCTACCCCGCTGATCCGCGTACCACCTTTCCTAGTATTCGCTGGTAACCCTTTCTGCAACGTCCGGAGCGCTTTCATTTCTGAGGGTGGTAATGAGTCTTCTCTCTTTTTCTCTTCTTGGCTAGTCCAGCTAAAGGTACGTCAGTTTTGTTGATCTCTTCAAAGAAATAACGTTTGGTTTCCTTGGTCCCGGTTCATTGGTCATGATTCCTGCTTCTAGTTTGGAGACGTTTACGCTGGTTTCTGTAAGCATCGATGTGTTCTTACTCCGTGTTTTGAAAGTGACAGTTCTCAGAAGGTGAAAGGATTCAGAAAAAAAAAAGTGTATATATATCTCACACCTAGACACAGACAACGGTGTGGTGATAGCCACAGGGAAAAGGGGGTGAGGGTATGTGGAGGTGGGCAAAGGGGATTAAAAGGAGGCTGCTTTGGCCGGTGGGTGCTCGATGCAGCGCGCGGCCGATGATGTTTTGTTGAGTCGTACGCCTGAAGCCGACCTATACGGTGCATTGAACCAATGTCACCTCAATAAATTCCATTTCAAGAAGCGTAACTATGATGCTATTATCACATGTCTGAGGCATTTTAATATAAAAACTGCTAGTCCCTTTTAAAAAAGTATGGTTCTCTTTGTGTTTGATGAGTGAATTTATGCACATATTGACTTGCGCAGAAAATCCTCTCCCCCCTCGAGTTAAATAGAGTAGGCTGCATTCTGACAGATGCGGCCTTGGGCTGGTAATAGGGGGAAATTATTGCTAAGAATACCGAAATCTGTCACAATCATTTTAGTGCTTATCTTCTGTGTCAAAACCAAGTTAAGCCAAATATGAATCGCCAAATGTGAGCACTTCCTTTGTTCTCCAGTGCTTTCTCAACCTTTGCCTTCTGCACACAGAAGGCTACATGTGCATATTGTTTTTCCTTATAAGGCCCATCTCATCTCACCCCAGGTCCCCGCAGAAGTCTCTCTGTGTGAGGTGAAGCTAGAAAAGAAATCCTATCAGGTAACTGTAGACATGCTGTCTTCCAGAGCTGAGACTTAATATAGTCTGTTTCCTCCCCTTTCATGGTCTGTCTGCCCTACCATCTAGCCAACTCCTATATATCCTTTAACATCTCAGAATAAAAAAAATAAAAAAAAATAAAAACCATTAGACTTGTTTTTATCAAAAGAATCATTATGAAGAGCCTGAATTGAGTGGACCTTGATCTGTTCATCAGAAAAGAAAACAACGAAACATGGTCTTATGCAGAAGGCAGGTCAGTCATGCATGAGGGATGGTCCGGGCAAAGGTTTAGTGGCAGGGAAAGATGGACTGAGAGCAGGGCATCACAAGACAGCTGAAGATATAAATTTAAAGTCTAAAATAACCTTTACCTCCCTGCCAGATATACATTCACGTGTGCGTGGACATGTGCACAGGCACACATACACACGCAGACACACAGAGGCCTCCCTTTTGGTCCTACAGACACATATCAGTAAATTGGACCTCTAGCCCTTTCTATTAGATTTTCCTCCAATGGAAATGAAAATGAAAGCCACAGGGAAGGACCCGAGCTCTTCGTCTTTGGGGATCCAATGGAGACTCTGTGAACATCCCATGGCAGAGATCAGGGGTGTGATGCTCATTCTGAGCCTTGTGTTAGCAGAAGTGAGCCACGTTTCGTGAATTGGATTGTGTGTCTGTGGATGCATTAGATGGTCTGTACAGACAGGCGCCAACAATTCCTCCCATTCCTGTACACACATGCCACTACTTCTTCTATCAAGAGGAGTCCTCTTCCTTTGAATCTCAGCTGTCCTTCTGCCTTGTATTAACCAACAGAATGCAACAGAGCAATTCTGTGCCTTAATAAGTCTGGAAGCTTCCATTTCCACCCCCGTGGGACCCAGCCATCACGCAAAGAAGATGGCAGTAGACAACTGAAAAGCAGGAAACCATGTGGAGAGGAGAGGTTCATTTGGTTTTAAAAGTTTCTTAGGTGGTTTAACCTCTTAAAAACATAGCTTTCATTTTGAAATAAAAGTAGAACAACTGTGTTTGCGAGTGTTAGACAGGAATATGACTGAATG